GATACCTGATTATCAAGAAAAGCAACAAGTATATTCTTAGTTCATGTAGTATTTTTGATATCACTTTTATTAATTCCTTTTTATTTACCATGTACCATGAGAAAATCTCACATAAAACCTTTAACCTGAGCAGGTTTTCTTTTTCATTTCTTTCTTTCCCTCTTTCCCTCTTTCTTTCTTTCTTTCTTTCTTTCTCTCTCTCTCTCTCTCTCTCTTTCTTTTTCTTCATGATTTTTTCCAGCATACCTACCCAAATAAGTGTGGAAAACACTGTATTTTTTCATTAGTTATGTGTATCTATTTATTCATTAGTATACCTAATTATTATTTTTTCTTTATTGAGAGATAATTTGCATATGATAAATTATACTTATTTAAATTTTACAATTAGGTAAGTGTTTTTTTATTATGTTTTTGTTATGTTAATCACCATACATTACATCATTAGTTTTTGATGTAGTGTTCCATGATTCATTGTTTGCATATAACACCCAGTGCTCTATTCAGTATGTGCCCTCTTTAATACCTATCACCAGGCTAACCCATCCCCCCACCCCTCTCCCCTCTAGAACCCTCAGTTTGTTTCTCAGAGTCCATAGTCTCTCATGGTTCATCTCCCCCTCCGATTCCCCCCCTTCATTTTTCCTTTCCTGCTATCTTCTTCTTCTTTTTTTTTTTTAACATATAATGTATTATTTGTTTCAGAGGTACAGGTCTGTGATTCAACAGTCTTACACAATTCACAGCACTCACCATAGCACATACCCTCCCCAGTGTCCATCACCCAGCCACCCCATCCCTCCCAACCCCCACCACTCCAGCAACCTCAGTTTGTTTCCTGAGATTAAGAATTCCTCATATCAGTGAGGTCATATGATACATGTCTTTCTCTGATTGACTTATTTCGCTCAGCATAATACCCTCCAGTTCCATCCACATCGTTGCAAATGGCAAGATCTCATTCCTTTTGATGGCTGCATAATATTCCATTGTATATATATACCACTTCCTCTTTATCCATTCATCTGTCGATGGACATCTTGGCACTTTCCATAGTTTGGCTGTTGTGGACATTGCTGCTATAAACATCGAGGTGCATGTACCCCTTTGGATCTCTACATTTGTATCTTTGGGGTAAATACCCAGTAATTGCACTACTGGGTATAATTGGTTTTTAAATTTTGTCTTAGCAATGTGCAATTCCTAGGAAGAAATATTCATTGTAGGCTATTTGGAAAATAAAAACAGGATAAAGTAGGCAATAAAATCATTTGTAACCCCAACCTGCATCTCCCAGAGAACTACAGTGATACTCCAATGCATTTATGACAACATGTCCGCTTGAAGGAATAGCGATGTTGAAGAACACAGTAGTCTGAATTGGCCAACAGACAGATGTAAATGTTTTTCAGAATTGTGTTTTATTTAATCTGTCCATTGATTTCATAAAATTCTAAAAAAAAACAGTTAAAAAGAAGCTGGGAAAATGTGTGATGTAAAGAATTGCCTATTATGGAAGGTTTGAGAAAAGGTGTTCAGGAGCCTTTTTTAATTTAACTTTCAATGCTGATAGAAAGTTGTAATGACAGAGAAAGAGAGGGAGAGATAGAATGAATATGTCTTCCTGTCACAACTGGACCAAATTCTTGTAAGTTCTGATTAATCCATAGTAATTATTATTGTTACTTTAATATGCCTGAGATACATATTTAAGATTAGTTTATCAGCTGAATTCTAAAATTCTCCTGCCTTTTTGACTTGATGTGTACTTCTTCATTTAAGAGACATGGTCTCTGTCATCATGCTGTGTATGTATCACAGATAAAGTCATAAACCTTGGCATCTATTGATGTTGTTACAGTTATCATACTGATAGTGGTATTGTTACTTCATAAATCACTTTTTTGTCACAATTGAAAATTATTATTGGCAGAACAACTACACAAAAATGCCTTTGAGCAAGAGGTGTGGGTAGTCACATCACTATATAACATGAGCTGGAGAATAGGAGAAATGAGATACAATCTTTTTCACTCTTGTTTTTTCACTTAAAGTGGAACAGCACAAGGTAGTTAGGAGTCTAGATTTGACTTACCTAGCAAATTATTTTCCTTCTTGATAAATCAAATGGTGATATTTGTGGAATGTATAATGTTATTGTATTTTATTTTTGAAGGATCTCAAGACTTTGAGGAAAGTAAGTTTTTAAAAATTTCTTCCCAATACTGTTAATTCCAGTTTTTCCCATTGGTTAAGGACTCCCTTAACAATGTCAAGGTCTAATTTTGAGGGTTTTCAGTCACTTTTGTTTATTAGAACCATCTTATTTTGTTAATCATATGTATTCTTCACTTTAAAACTTTAATCTCAAACTTACTTCAAAACTCTTCACTTCCTCTCCCCTCAGTTGGAGCTATTGTTTTAGCTACTTGCAGGGGAGCAGGGGCGGAAGAAGGAAAGGTAGATGAGCTGGGGCCAAGGTGTGGGTCTCGTCTCTTCGGAAGAATCTAGACCTTAAAGGTAGCGCAAAGGTAACTCTGCTTCTTCCTCTGTTCTCAGAAGGCTTTTCTTAGGACTGTCACCTGACATTGTCTTTTACTGGCAGCCACAGGCCAGACTCGTAGGTAGGTTCTGCAGCTCAACAGCATCTGACTGGGAAACCAGATGCTGTCTTCTCCTTCTTCAGGCACCTCAGATTTTGGAGTTACCCTTCTTGGCTTTGGGGAGTGGAAGGAACCTCCTCTTGCTGCCCAAGAAGTAGGAATAGCCTGTCACTTTATGAGTCAGTTTGTGGAGAAGGGTCTGACTCTAATGAGAGTGACTCTTGAGCACCTCTGAGCCAAGCATGAGGGGATACTTAGCATCTTTGGTTTTTGGTTGGGGCCTTCGTTGGAATTTCAGAAGTACGGGAAAAACTCTAGTCAATATCTGTTACCTCTATTTGCAAACATGATCCTTAGGATCCACCCAAGTCAGTTACTGCCAATTCGGTACTCTGGTAATAATATTTCAGTAGCAGCTTCAAGTTTACAGAATTGGCCTGAGTAAATTTAGGCAGTGGGGATGCACCCTCTTAGGGGTAAACTACTTAGCTTTCTGCTTTCCATATAATCTCTTCTCCTTAATGAAAGTATGCCACTCATACACCTCAGCACACACACACATTTTAACTCTCTAGGATGTAGTGTTTACGTCTGACCTCTGAGGGTGAGGCCCAGAGTGGTCTTGATACTTTTAGAAAAGTTAGAAGGAAAATTCCATGGAAGGAAAACTCATGATAATTTCAAATGCATTATAATCCAACGTATTACCTAAAGCCCTCAGACGGATGCTGTCTATTGCATAGTTTTGAGATATTAGCATTAAAAAAGCTTTGTTAAAGACAATGAAAGGGGATTGTATTTGAAGATACTTAAACTCTTGGTGATGAAAACATTAACTCCTTTTCTTTTTGCCTCCTTTAACAGAACTGAGCATACCATGTTATTTCTCCCTGGTCCACAGTATACCCTTTATAGAAAATGGTTTCCGATTCTTGGGAAGAAGCCAGCACAGTTATTTTTCACCTTTGATATTGCTGTAGTTGCTAATTTCAGTCTTACTCTTAAAAAAATTGTCTTGCATAAGAAATACTTTTTGTACTAACATCTGTAGGTTTTCAGTAGATGTTGGCAATGAGCTGATTGAAAATTCTAGGTTACAGCTGTTCGGAGTGATCCGAATGCCCTGATGGGAAGGAGGGTAATTTGCAATTCTTCCCAGGCAGGTATTTTTGCATCACACAATTTTGAAGGTGGTCTATGGTTGAACCTGCTTTGCTAAGGAGTAAGCGAACCTCTGCTCAGCATTGGTACCTTCTGTGAACTCTGTTTCTTTGCCTTTTGATTGAGATGCTCTGTTTCTCTGTAAAAACATTCATGTTATATGAGAGCGAAGGCTTGAATTAACCTTAAAAAAAGGCAGTTAAGGGCGCCTGGGTGGCTCAGTTGGTTAAGCGACTGCCTTCAGCTCAGGTCATGATCCCAGGGTCCTGGGATCGAGTCCCGCATCGGGCTCCCTGCTCTGCGGGGAGCCTGCTTCTCCCTCTCCCACTCCCCCTACTTGTGTTCCCTCTCTCACTGTCTCTCTCTCTGTCAAATAAATAAATAAAATCTTAAAAAAAAAAAAAAGGCAGTTAAGTTTTGGTAGGAAGCTATGCGCAAGGAGTGTGAAAGGAATCTGATTTGGGAGAAACACTGGAGCCAATACAGATATTTTCCTACTTAAGACTTCAGCGATTTGAGGTTGTTTTGACTATTAGCAATCTTACTTTTTCTACAAATTCTTTAAAATGAGGGGCTAAAGTGATAGTGAGTGATGTTTTCCCAGGATCTTTCTAGGAAATCATTTATTTCCAGTACCAACTGGTCAAAAACAGAACAGAAAATAGTCCTCTATGAATGCATTTCTCTTTGTGTAAAACAACACATGGTTTCTCTAAGTCCAGTGATTGGGGAAAAGTAATGTCTCATTACTTTAGCCAAATTTCAAAGTTAATGGTAGCATTTAAAATGATAAATAAAAATTTAAAATGAACACAAATGACAGCCTGTTAACCTGCTTATTTTTTAATCGTACCCAGTGGAGAGGAATTGCAGTTGTTGGGGAATTTTAAGCAGTATTAGAATACTGTTGATTCACACAAATGAGAAGACTTTTTTGTTTTATTTTTACTTTATAAACTTTTTTAACAATGGTACAGTTTTAAACTTCCTTATCAAGCAGCAGAATTGTTGACTGAAAATATCAGGACCTCTACTTAGGTTGTGGAAATAAAAGGACCCAGGGATTGTGAATTCTACCACTGGCATATATATGACAGATTATAAGAAACTTCTAAATTTGCTAGTTTTTCATGATTGATTCTATTTATATTATTTATGTTTTCTTGTAAAATACTGATATTTTTCTGTAGCTCTATTTTGTGGAAATAATTTGAGTTTTCTGTTTTAATCTTGTAGGTATGATGTTGATTCCAAGAGCCCCAACCTATCCAAACATGTAAGTTTATACTTTATGTTTTAATGATGATTCCATAATATAAATTACAATGTCATGATTTATGATTGGTATTTATGTTGGTATATTAATATTAAAGATATGTCCCAAACTTTTCATGTAATAATTGTTATAGAAAATAAATAGCATTTTTCAAGGACCCTAGAATAACATTTGGAGGAACATATTAAAGCAAAGATATCTTTCGTAGGTGAAATGGATTAATCTTTTTTATTATTTACTTACATATTTTTTAAAGACATGCTGCCAGTTCCCTGCAGAGTTTGGAGTTGGATCAGGTTAAGCAAGATGAAATAGTGAGCCTGTGTCATTTGGAGAGGCTTCACTTCTGAGAGAATGAGAAGTTCTTGGGTGTAGGCAGAGTGATTTACTACTTCTCCTGTCCTTGTGGTCCATTCGTTCAACGATATTTTCTAAGTGCCTCCTCTTGCTGGCACCATGTCAGTTTCTGAGGGTACAGTATGAGCAAGAGGGACATATAGAGTCTATCCTCAAGGTCACCTACAGTGTCTTTTTCTTCCTTTTGGGTTCTGATCGTCCCTCCATCTACCCACTGCTCTTGTCTCAAAAGCTCTACTCCCAGGCCACAACTGTTCCCTGGGGACATTCCCAGGTTCAGGAGCAGCAAGGACATCAGAAGTAAGCAGAGGTCTGGAGGAAGGGATGAGGGCGAGATTCTCTGGCCGAGCACTGATGATCGGATCAGCCTGTTGCTTGAACTGTGGGAATGGAATTAGGCCAAACTAGGAGGAAGGGCTGCACGAGGGCTGAAAACAGCATTCTGAAAGGAGTTTAACCAGGTTCCAAGTGGAATCTGAGTACCTGGATGTAGAATTGGTAGTCGTGCCAGGGTTGAGAGGTGAGAGGCTGGGTGGAGTCATAGTCGTGCCCAGAGGGTTGGGGGGTGAGTATTTTCACTTCTCTATTGTTGTAGCCTATTGATTAGAACATAATTTCCAATATAGTTTGGAGAGGGGTAATGTCATGATTCAGAGAAGAGAGATAACGTTATTCCAAGCTAAGAGGGTGATTTGGGGAAACTGGAAAGCTGGTAAAAATCACAATTTACTGTTCTTGTCCTTCATTGTAAGGAAGCTGTGATACTCATTTTTGTTATGAAGCATAGAGCAGAATCACTGAAGAAGCATTCAAAGAAAAGTCTTTCCTTTTTTTTTTTAAAGATTTTATTTTATTTTTTATTTATTTGAGAGATAGATAGAGAGCACATGCAGAGGGGAGGGGCAGAGGAAGAGGGAGAAGCAGACTCCCTGCTGAGCAGGAAGCCAGGTTGACACGGGCCTCCATCCCAGGACCTGGAGCTCATGACCTGAGCAGATGCTTAACCCGCTGAGCCACCCAGGAGCCCCCAAAGAATAGTCTTTCTGACTGACTTTTCTACAAAATGAAAATGAACACTATAATAAGCTCATTATTCCCTATAAGTGCAGTTCATTACAGTTGCCATGTCACCTTCCTGCTTCTCATAAGATTTATAGCATTGTGGCTGAACATTTAAAACTTAACTGCATAGCTTTGTATTGGAAGCTTTCCAAATTCCACTGGAAGAATCAGAAAAAGAATTCTGTTTTCTAGTCAAAATTTCGTTGCAAGGAAAGAAAATGCATTCATTTACCTCACATGTAGGTGGTTAATATTAAAGAGATTTAGGAGCATCTCATAAATGTGATGAGTAGCTTGCCCTTATAGGAACTGCAGCTAGAAACAGGTATGTGGGCTGGGACTGAGACAGCTATTTTCTCGATTTCTCTCCCTCTGAGGCCACATATTCTTTCCATTATGATTCTTCGCTGAGCTTCTGTTTCTCTCCGAAGACCAAATCTCTCTGTTTGTTCATCTTTGTGCACGTAGGAAAAATGAACTCCCCAAACCCTGAGTGGACATAGATTTTCAAGTGCCCACTCTCCCTGAATATAGTTTCTTTGTTTCTCAGTGAAAACTACTTTTTTAGAGGGCATGATAACTGGGCAGTTAAGGACACTTCCATGGGGTTGGATATCTTGGGGGTGAGTGTGAAGGTGGTAACATGAGGTCCTTACCAATGTCATTGCTTTGAGTCCAGGGCAGAGAGTAGTATATGGGATAGGAAGGTACCTCAAACGTGATTAACTATATTTTCCTTAAGTAATCTGTAATTATTATTATTATCTAAGATACATACTATAGAAGCCCTGAATGTACATACCTTTTAAAACTTTTCTTTTGCAGAATAGCTTTTTATATTTTTCCATAAGAAACACTTCATGTCTTCCTCCTGATATCTTGACTCTGCTTCACCCTCATGCTATCTCCTTTACCACCTTCTTATCACCATAGTTCTTTTCAGAACAGCCTGGGTTTTTACCATCTTACTTTACTGTGTTCTGGTTTTCATTTCTGCTTGAACTATTCTGACATAGGTTAGAGAAAAATTTCGTGGCCTGTCTTCACTTTCTATTTTAGTTGAATTCTCCATCATTTTGGACAAAATTGACTGCTCTGTTCTTGAAACCCTCATCTCCTCTGACTTCCACAGAAATACCTCCCTTGCGGGGGCGCCTGGGTGGCTCAGTTGGTTGAGGGTCCAACTCTTGATTTGGCTTGGGTCATGAGCTCAGGGTCCCAGAGTCCTGCGTTGGGCTCCCTGTTCAGTGGGGAGTCTGCTTCTCTCCCTCTTTCTCCCTCTGCCCCTCCTCCTGTGCACTCTCTCTTTCTCTTTCTCAAATAAATAAATCTTAAAAAAAAAAAAAAAAGGAAATGTCTCTTGCTTCTTTTCCTACCTCTGTGTTTACTCATTATCTATCTTTTTTTTAGTTTCTCTTCCTATCCCTTAATATTAGTGTTTCTCCCGGTTTTGTTTTCAGTTTCATCTCATCTCACTGTATCAGTTCTCCTTGGGTGATCTCAGCCATTTCCATGCCCTACCCTGATGACTCCCAAGTGTCTGTCCCTCTGTGTACCTCAGCAAATACAAGTTTCCATCTGCTTGTTAGATATTGCCTGGTAGATATTCTGCAGAAGCCTAAAACTCAAATATATAAAAAATGTATGACCTTTTCCATTCCAGTTTTGCTTCTCTGCTTGTATTATCTATTGCCAGAATTATCATCAACACAGTGTACTTAGTTAGAACACTTGGTTGTGTTGCTAACTGCTTTCTGTCTCACAGACCACATCTTGTGAATGACCAAATTGTGTTCATTCTAATGAAGTATTATTTCTCTTTTGTCTTCTTTCCTTTCTTAACTGTTACTTAATTCAGATTCTCGTCACCTTTCTCCTAAACTATCACATAGTTTCCTATAGTTCCTGTGATTTGTATTACCTTACATTTTAATGTAGTCTTTACATTACTTCCATGTTATATTTCTTAAAAATATTTAGTAAGCAATACAAATTTGTTAATAAGTGTGTGAGCTTGTAAATGGATGAAGCATTCCAGAAGAGGAAGGAAGTGTGTTTTTGAATTGTTACAAGAATTGTTAGAGATTACTGTCTTGAATTTCTGTTAGAAATTAACAACCAAAGACCTTTCTAATTTGAAAGCATCCAAGTACAGATTTTAGGTGAAAGAGCATATAACTCATTCAACCCAAAACGAGTTCAGGAGGCATTTAGATCAGAGGAGCCAATAAACAAAGTAGGTCTACTCCCTGAGGATACAATTGTTTTAAAGTGTGGTTGTCTACCTGCCAATTTCGCAAAGTGAAATAAAAACTGGAACCTTTTAGGAGAGACTGCAAAGTGCCTGGGCTTGCATGTGGAGAATAGGCACTTAGCTTTCACAAAGGGTATTTGGTAGCAAGAGAGACTCCGTGAGTCAACAATAAGAAAATCTTTTTTTTTTTTCCCCCATTCTCATTTCTGATAAGTTTGGCAGAAACCCCTTTCAGGATGACTTTATTTGATTTCCAGTACTTAAGGATCTTGGGTCAAATTCTTAAATTTTTTGGAACTAGTAGGGAAAATGGTGATATAATACAGAATTTTACCTTAGATTTCTAACATTGCAAATGAATACAAGGTGAGTGGATAAAGGATCAGTATCCTTTTAACTGATTTTATTAGTGGTGGAAAAGTTCTTAGCGGAGAAACATTATGCTCCAGGCTGACTTACGGAATCCAGGGACAATTTCCTTTGCAGGAGTTATCCATTTTATGATTCTCTAAGGAAATTACTAAAATATTATCCCCCCCCACCCCGAAGTTTTAGATCCTTTGAACAGAATCTGGCATTTTGAATTCCAGCTTTGTTCTCTTAAGTTGCCGTTGAACCCACTCATCTTAATGCCATTAGCAGAACTACGTAGCGTACTTTCATTTGCATAATTTAATTGCACCAGCCAAATCATTAATGAAAAGATTAATAACAGGACCATAATTGGTGAATCTAGGATTCTGCTTGGTGTTCTGGACCAGATGACATCAAAACTGTACTTTGTGTACTAAATTTTCATACCCACCAGGCAATCCAAAATGCATTTATTCATTTGGTTGATTCCAGAAGGTACCCACTAAAATTTTTGTTTTAGACATGTTAATGGCTCACTGGATTATTTTGGCCACGAAATACCAGCCTTTAGTGAAGATGTGTATCTTCTTTAATATGTTTTCTATGTATCATCTATATAAGCTTCCACATGTAGATCAGTTGTATTTGAAAATTTCATTTGAAAGATAATTGTTTGAGCCATGAAGTGCGTTTTCTCATAGGAAGAGATTTATAAGTGGGGCACAGTTTTTTTTTTCATTAGAAGAAAAGCCAATTTAACCCATATATAACTGAACTGAATTCTAATGCATTTTCATAAAATCAGGCGAGCAATGAATGTATTTCAGGTGCTGTTCAAGTGCTGAGGAATGTAGCAGTGAATAAGACAAACAAAGTCCCTGTCCTAAAACAGTGTACACTTTGGAAATAGGGAAGTGGAGTGGGCAGATTTATTTAATAGAAACTAATGCAAAATGTTTGAGATAACTTCTTT